GTGTTCATCCAGCTCTACACCTTGTTATCTCAGATTCTCCAGCATCTGCAGTTCCTACTATCTCTGAAACAATTAAGTTAATTCTGTTGCTCAATGCCAACCTTTATTTCCCTCTCCTGTATCATGAGTCATCTGACAAGATGTTCCTGCCTTACTGTGAAGAACGATATAGATTTATAGACATTGCAATGTGCTTGTAATGACTGTAACCTATAAATCATTGTTTTCTACAGTATTTTATAGTACACTAACCTACTTTAAAAAAAATCAAAGATCTTTCAGAACAGATTATTTTGTGTTCATTAGTCAAACAAAAAGGTGTTCTTTCTTTTTTACTAATAACTCTTAAATACAATTATACGTTTGTTTCGTGTATTTTGACTGAATTTGCGGCCACTTTTGCAATCCAGACTCCTGTCCATTAGAACTTGATTTCAAATGAACTGAATCTTTCACTTGGAATCTCTCATAGCAATCAAGTTAAAAAATCTTTATCCCATCTGTCTTGTATCTGGGTTGTATTTGATTCAGGCCTCAGAGGTGATGCACTATTCTTCCCCTACACTCCTGGTTACTTTATTTAAACAAATTTCCCAAGTGGCATTACTCTATTGATTAATAATACACGCTGTGGATTCTAAAATGCCAGTACACATTTTTATCCTGATAAAATTCCTGTAGCAGTTATTTTTCTAGCAACCAGACAGTGACTATCACTCTGCTTTTAAAGTATGGTTCAGTTTTGTATATTTCTAAAATACTTGTCCAACATTCTCCATGAAAACTGATTATGGGCAGTGATCCTACTGCACTACAGGACTGTAAAGCCATAGGCCAAAATATTAAAACTCACTCTGGAACCCTAAATTTTATCAGTGTGATCCCCAGGGAGAAAGTACAAAAATGTATAATAAATCATTCTTAGCCACTCAAAAGATACTTCTTACATTAAACAATATAAATTATTTCTCGCACACTTTTTTTTTAACTGCTCTCATATCCTCAAGGACAAGTGCTGAGATCTATTTGTGCTGAATTATAATTACTGATAATCCTATTTTTCATTTGAAATGTTTTGCAGAATTTTGTTCTTAAAAAGTTGTGCAGTGCTGCTAATTTAATGATGGAAAATACCTATGACTTTCTTGACTTCAATGCATGAATTTTTAATTCACAATTATTGTTAATAGAAGAAAAAAGTAGATATAGTTAACTCAGTTTGTTCTTACTGTATTAAAATTTATAAACGTTTTGCTTGTTTCTTGACCCAATCCCCTCACCTCCACATCCATGCTATCATATGTAACCTACAAGGATAGGATGACCATATGAGGCTGTCCATAGCTGCAATCAGCACAGCTCTTTGGTTTACTTATCATAATATATACTATTGAACCACTTTACTAATGCCTCATAGATCAATACCTTGTGTTTTCAATTTTATTAATACATTAACAGAGAGAGATAGTGTTACCAACACCTTGAAAGCTGCAGTATCCTATTTCCAATAATCAGCTCTTCGATTTCAACTATAACTTCCACATGTCTATGCATCTCATACATATACCAACGACTGTAGCTCACATGATTTTGGGGAAGGAGCATTAATGTTTGAATCGACTTCAGATTCTTAATCTAAAATCCAAATAATCTGCTGTTAATTACTTTTAAAATCATACTGGCATATGGGTTGGGCTGGGCAGTTGCTGGGAGAAGTAAGCCACCAGAAAGCAGTATTATATTTCATTATACTGTACTTTCTTAGAGCAATTGCGCAATTGCTTAGTAAAGAACAAAGTAAGTACTGTCTGGTTGCTACAGCAAAGGACAGATTAGACCATAGTCAATACAACAATGGAAGCTAAATGCTATTAGGGTGATGAACAAGGCACTAGGCCCCCAGGTAGTTTTCGGTGCAATTATACAATATTACACTAGCAAAGCAAAAACAGATATTCATTCATTACTGGACTACCAGGATGTTTGTGCACAAACATACTTGTTTTCTGTCCCAGCTTCTGAGAAGTTTATTTTTATTTATAACTAACATAATTTGTTGGCCAAAATGGCTTAATTAATAAATCTTCTTCCCTGTATGAACTGTATCATGCAGACTTGGAAGATCCTGGGAGAGATCCCTAATTTAAATCTCCAGGCTAAGCTAACTGTTTGTAGCTGGGTTGGGAGAATATCTACTCCGCATCATTAAGCTAGATAGGGGAAAAATAGTCTAATTCCCACTTTTCAGCTTCACCCAATGTTTTCTGGAACATACATGGGTGTGTCTGGCAGTCTAACAGAATCAACTTCAGTAGTAATGCCCATCACCTTATGGAGACAATAATCTGAAATTCACTGTCTAGACTCTCAGAAATTGACTTGAAAAGAAAAATAAAGATGTGTGACATGTATCTTCTTGTATTTGATCAAGAAATATACTTTCAAAAATCAAAGCAACATTGTATTATGATTTTCTTTATCAAAGCTGTTCCCAGTTTTCAATAATTCTCTACTTAAGATTTGACTACAGAGCTTCTCCCTGTCCCTGTTTAAAACAGTCATATTGAAGCATCTTCAATATAGAAAGACACTGGAGAACCTTCAGTCCGTCTGCAAATTCTAAAATTCCATTTCTTGAAATGTGGAATTGTAGTGAGTACTGGCAAAACGGTGTAATATAATTATTAACATTCTAAAACTACTTATTAAAACTAAAATTACTTTATCATCAAAAGCATTTAATTCTATTTGTGTTACTATTTGCATCTACATTTCATTCACATTTACAACCTCAAAATGTAACTTTTTCAGTGTAACAGAAACAAGTTAACCTGAATTCCATTCAAATCTTAACAATGTGAGATTTTGCTGCCCCAAAGTGGACTTAATTAGCCAATACATTAATGTAGAAAGAAAGGGAAATATTTAGAAAAACTCGACAGGTACTCTACTCAATAGGGCAGCATGGTGGCTAGCACTGCTGCCTCTCAGTCCTAGGGATCTGGGTTGGATTCCACCCTCAGGTGACCGTCTATATGTAGTTTTCACATTGTCCCAGTGTCTGCATGAGTTTCCTCCAGGTGATCTGGTTCCTTCCCACAGTCCTATGATGTGCAGGTTAGGTGGATTAGCCATGCTAAATTGCCCATAGTGTCCAGGGATGTAGAGCATGGATGGATTAGCCATGGGAAAGGTATGCTACAGGGATAAGGTGGGGGGGTGGGTCTGGGTGGGATTCTGTTCAGA